TGAAAATTCCATTTGCAGGATTCATTGAAAATTAGGTGCTCTTCAAAAGATTTCTTTTTTTTTTTTTTTTTTTTTGTAATTTGATCATGAATGAAAATGAATTACCCTAACATCAAGTCTTGACCACATCTTTCAAGCTATTATATATTCTAAGAGACATGGAATGCAGGCATTAGTTTTGTTTATAAAGGTTAGCATTAAATATATTCAGTTTCCATGCACTAGTCAAATTCCTCTATTGTTTGGGTAACACTTTGTATATTTTTTCTGGATTACTTAGTATCTATTGTTTACTATGAAAATATTTAATAATGCAAGGTTTTATTATACAGTACCTTTGTGTCCATTCCTAATCCTCATCAATGTATTGTAGAATTTCCAATTTGGGTGATACTTGAATATTTAATCTACTTTAAAGAAAAAAAAACTGGGAGGTGTACCTGTCCAAACATTACAATCTCATATAGATTTCATTTGCTGAAAAATCATGTGATCCAATACCCAAAATTTATTTATTGCATTTCTGAATGATGTTCAAACTGCTTACAGACAGTGATAATATTAGTTAAAATAAAAAAAAAAAAAATGATATTATTATAGTATATTAAATAAAGACTACATTTTTTTTTTTTTTTTTTTTTGTCTAATTCCATATATATTTATTTTTAATGTTGAGAATTTTGTCATCCTATAGACCACATACTTTAGTGATGCATTCTGGTAGATCAGACTCGGAAAATTGATTACATACTTAGGTAACACCAGTAATTCGTATATTTTGATTTTTCACAAGTGAGTGAGAATTTAAAGTTTCTAAACTTAAATTTTAATTTATCTGTTAAAAAAAAAAAAATAACCTATCCATATAAAAAAAAATATGTATATCCCTATTTTTAATGTACTTTATTTTTTGTGTTCAATGAATATAATTCTTAATAATTTTTTTTTTTTGTCAGTTAACATAAATTGTGTAATATTTTGTAACATTTTGTCTATAAAATTTTTTTTTAAATTTTTGAATTTTAATTTTAGAAATATATTCTGTTTTTTATTGTATCCCTTCAGCACCTATTTTAGTGATTACTTGTATGTATAAAAGGGTGGATTGATAAGTCTGTGCAGTTTGGTGTGATGATAGCAACTCAGAATAAGAAATCATAGCGCCGAGTTCAAATGGCTGTCAAGTTTATTACATTCACTTATGTGCAAATATCCTTGGGAAAGGTATGAAACTATCTCTCTTCTCCTCCCAGCTATGGGTTAAAAAGTAGAACAGACTGGACTCTTCAGCCTTGGTTGGCAACTAGTCTAGGAGAAGAGCAACTCTAAATTAAAAAAAAAGAAAAAAAACATGTCAATAGTTCATGCACAGCATATACGATTCAGCTAATGACAGGATCGTGGAGTTCAAGTTTGATCAAATATTGATATTGCTGACTTATTCCCACAGTTGGGCAATAAGTCGGCAAAATGATTTGATCTGAAATTTTAACTGTCTAGTATTTGATCTATCTGATTAATATTAAGCTTTGACGAGGAAGTGTATCACATTGAAAATATATGTTGCTTTAAGAAATTTATTTTCTTTACTACTGATCACACAATACAAGACCCAAGAGTCACTCAAAATAGAGAATTACTGTGTGGTATCATATGAGTGTAAGAAAGGGCAAAAAGTGAAAGTTCATGAGGTTATGCAGGAAAGCTAAGTGTTAACTCTAGACTTGAAGTGGTCAAAATTATTATGATTGGAAAATCGCATGAGAATGAGAAGACATTTTACCAGTTGGAAACCCAATCCTAAACAAGGGATGAATGTCTACTCCTGTTCAAAAGACTGTGGAGGAGTGTGAACTGGATGATAGGCAAAACTATCTGTGCATGTGAAGGATGCTGAAAAGTTCTTTGCTTGACCCACTTCCCAAAATATGACCAAACATTAAAATATTCTTCTTGGTTAGGCTGAGAACTTTTCAGTTTTCTTTCGTATATAAAATTGACAAGAAAGTAGGATAAATAGGTTGGCCAAGTTTGAAATGTTTCTCTTTACTTTCCAGACATAATTCTGTGTGTGCAATACTAAAAATATGTAAATGATTTGTCTGTCATTGTCATGTGAGTATGAAGATCATTTACTTGGTGAAAATAGGAGCACATTACCAACTTTTTTATAACACCCCGAAGAACACAATCACCCTTAAGCACTTGTAGTAAAGTGAGGGTAAAATACTGAAATTCAAGAGAAGATTGACTTCTGTTCATATTGGACAACAACACATTAAAACAGATCTCAGAAAAAAGAATTGATTTTAACAAGCATAAATTGCTTTCTCTTTGTGTTCAGTTAGACACTTGTACATTTCTGTCTATATTTCTGAGATGAGATATTGTAATTATTTACACTATTTATATTCTTTGAACTGCTGTCCTCATCTTTGTTGTCATATTCACGACATTTCGTCTGTTGTATATTCTGGCCTTCTTTAGATGACTGGAATTTCAAACTAAACCCTTTATTTCATCCACTAGGGTAGATTGTCCTCAAGGCCACATGGTCCAGTGGATAAAAGCCTTGGTTGAAATAATCCAGTAACTTGACCCAAAATGTTGTGGGTTCAATATCTGGCCACAGGAGTAGTGAACAAAAACTTGGAGAGTTACATTAAAGGGAAATAACTGAAACTGAGATATCTGGAAGCAGCATAGCACATTGAACTAGAACAATCTACCTTAGTGGATGAAATAAAGGGTTTGGTTCAAAATTCCAATCAGCTGAAGAAGGCCGGAGCACACAACAGCCGAAACATCATGAATATGACAACAAAAATGAGGGCAACAATGTAAATAGTGTAAATAAGTTGTACATTTGCATATATATCTTTGTCTTAATTTGAGGCTAAATGTGTTTACATTTTATTAATGGTTCACCATGATGACATTGAAGTTCAATAGTTCTAAAGTGCTAGTAGGAGGTTTGTAGAGAGCTTGATCCTGAGTGCCTTACACTTGTGGCCTTATGCAAGAAACATATTAAAAATTCAGCACACTTTAGTAAATACTAAAGACGTTTCACAATATGATAGTAGTGTGTTATGTAGTATGCTGAGTAATATGTCGTATGGCGGTAAGGTTGAAGATGTAGGACTAGACTAAGCACTACCAACTCTTGAAAACCCTAGTGTTGGAATAGGCGAAGATTTATGTGATCTCAATGGCCAAATCAGCAGAAGAGAGCAGTGCCTGTCAGGCTGGTAACCAAGGCAGACCTTGACAGACCAAGTATCCAACTGCTCAATGCAAAGGTTTGCCAGATCTCACCTGTCTCGGTCCCCTTTGAGCTGTAAGGGAGGTGCTTCTGGTCAAGTTTGTGAGCTTCTTTGTTGTGCAGAGTTGTCCACCAAAGTCAAATTAATGAGAATGGCTTCAACAAACTCTCTTTGATTCACAGCCATCTCTGCCACCAGTTGTTATACTGAGTAAATTTTAAGTTACCTCGCCCAAGGGATGTACTTAGAGAGGTAGTGCAACATTTTTACAACATTATATATGGTTGGTTATGTGGTCCAAGAGGGTGTTTGGCAACCACTGTCAATAATCCATAGTCGACCAGGATTCTTGTATTGCTTTGTTCGATCCTACAGTTTTCTTGAACCAATATACCAAAGTTGGTTTCTTTGCCTCTTTTTGAAAATCCAGTTAGACATCATTTCACCAGTAGAAAGTTTGGTGTCAAATAGTACAGCACATATGGCATGTATTGACTGATCTTATTGTCCTTTAGTAGGGAAATGTTATTAATACTTATCAATGAAATAGAGAGAGCAGGTGAATTGGAAATTCCTAGCAGTTTCATGACCCCCATGAATTCTATGAGGCAAAAATTCTTACTGAAAAATTTGGGAGAGAGAAACTCATTTTACCAGTAATTTCTCACCATCTCACTAATTGATAATTTGTTAATTCAAAGTCATATGAAAAGGCACTCATATTTGCCACACCCTTCCTTTTTTGTTTTTTGCAAATTGGGACTTGCAATATAACACCCAGGTACGATCATCAGCTTGTCCCTGTTTCATTTATTAATTCTTTCTTTTTTCTGATGAGGATTTCACATATTGGCAAATATTCTGAACTTCAGATTATCATACATTTGTTTCAGAAATACATTGTTCACAACACGCAAGACCTCCAGCTCATTAGATTTTATGCCCCCTCCCTCTGTAAAATTTATTCTCCTCTACTTCCCACACAATTGGGTGCCCCCACACTTACTAGTATACCTATAATGATGCAATTGTGTGAAAGGTTGACTTGCAGATCAAATCAGTTCGCTAGTGTAGTAGGCACTTCACTACAATAGCCTTGTACGAAACTAAGTTAGGTTTCATAAATAACTACATGGACACAATGAGTTAAAGAAAGTTTTTAATATTAAATCGTGATATAAATCTATACAGTCAGGCTTATACTGTTGGAATACTGCAGTTTCCTGGAAATCCAAAACAAGTATTACTGAACTAACAATCTTAGAGAACTTTTTGAAAGCATTAAATTGGATAACATACTGAAATTTGTTAAAAAGATTAGACTTTAAAATAAAATAAACAATATTTATAAATGTTTACACAAACAAAAAAATTTGTTTTCAATCACTCTTGACAAACAATAAAACTTGTTTTCAAACATACCTGATGAACATTATAACTTCTTCTCTACCATACTTGGGAAAAAATTTTCCTTCAATCATACCTAACAAACTATAAAATTTTCCTTCGACCATATCTGAAGAACTATGAAAACCCCGTTCGACCATATCTGAAGAACTATAAAAATCTCCTTCGATCATATCTGAAGAACTATAAAACTTAGTCTCATCCATACATGACCAAGTATAAAATATGTTTACAACATAATCCATTTGGCTCTAAATGACTCACAAGAGTTTGGGGGCCCATTAAACACAATAATAAATCTATGCTTTAAAGCAGTGTTTCTGGTTTACAGCCACATCATGTTGAAACACCTATTCCCATATAATCCCTGAAGTTAAGCAATGTCAAGCCTTGTCAGTATGTAGATGGGTGACCACTTGGGAAAACCAGTTGCTGTAAGCTTGGATGTGCCAGTGGTGTAATAGATAATGGCTCGGAATTTTTTTCGTCTTCCACTCAGGTTCATTATATTCACTTACACACAAATATCCTTGGGAAAGGTATGAATCTACCTCTTCTTCCCCATCTATTGGTTAATTAGTAAGACTTGTAACACTAAATTATTATTATCTCGAAAAGAAAAAATTCTTATGATCTAAAAATATTTTCTGGCTTTAAATAACCTGTTGATAAACTGTAGAAAATGAATCCATTAAAAAGCAGTGTTTTTCAACTGGTACACCATTCTTTTGTGACTTGAATTTAACAATGGAAATTCCACCTTTCATTAGCACAAATGAAAATTAATTACCCTAACATCAAGTTTTCATCATCAAGTTACTATATTGAAAGCAATATAGAATGTAGGTGTTAGCCTTTCTTACAAAGGTTAGCAGTATTATTTTGTATTGATTGTTTTTATAGCTTTTTCAATCCTTTGTAGGTTATTTAAAGCCAAGACATATTTTGGATTCTAAGGGTAATTTTTTACAAGTGTATACTTCAATAAGAATTTCTTGAGGATAACATGATTTTTTCCAGAGACTAGTCCTACATTTTAATTCATAGCTGTTGGGAGGAAATGGATTCTTACCTTTCCCATGGGCATTTGCATGTAAGTGAATGTAAATTGAACTCAGCTCTCCAATTTCTTATTTCCAGCCGCTATCCATTACACCACCCACACATCTGAAAAGTTATTGGCAAGAACCTTTAGTATATTCAGTTTGTTATACTTCAGGAACTACAGGATATCCAGTAAAAAAGCAGCAAATTTATTATCACTTTTTTATCTTTAGGAATAATTGACCTTGAATAAATTTCTTGAATAATTATTTAACTCTCATGTAATTACTTAACTTTGGTTCTTTTATGAGTGATTAATTGCTGCTCGATCTTGTAACTTTAAAAATTATATGCAGACAACTTTTGTCTTTCACTCTGCCCTTCTCGTATGGCTAAACAACTCACTGATTTTGAGCATCAAATTGTATTTTTTAAAGAAGAAAATCCAACATGGGGCTTGACAAAATGTGCTGAAATTCTTCATGAATTTTTCAGTCACATCAGTGGTTACCAGTTTTCAATGGTTGTCTCACATCTTTCTGAATTTACTGTTCTTTTCACTGGGCACTCTGTAGTAAAATGAGCTGACATTTCCTTTTGGTAGTTTTCTTTTTCTCTTGACAAATTTCATTTGAACAGTGATAATTTCTCTTGAAGTGTGAATGTTTCTAATTCAATCATACTTGAAAGTTACTGATAACATCATCCTATATAATTGTTTGTTATCATTTTAAAGTCCATTTAATAATAGAGAGTGTATGGTTATGATAGATAAGGGAGGAGAGAATACCAATATTTAATAATAGACTTATTACATTATTTTTCCCCACTCCTCCTCTTCTGGTTTAGGATTGGTTACTTTTTGATTCTTATTGCATTTTTAAATAAAACAGCACATCAGATGTTTTATTTTTCTTTCAATGGTAATAAAGAAAGAAAATCTTTCCTGTTGTTATCTGTACAACAATATAGCTGCTTTCATATCTCATACCGTTATAACACTACAGCTTTCTCTGGATTTTGGATCAATTTCTATAATAAGGGATTCTTTCAGATTCTTGGTTTTTCACAGTATTTCATTTTATATACCTTTCAGCCTTCATTTCTGATACAAGGTAATTTTTACTATTATACGTGGATTCTTTTGGGCTGTTTTCACCATTTTTGTTGACTGTATAACCATATTTTATCTGCTGCCTCATCTGACTTTGTGATAGTAACAATTACCTTTTACAACTTTGGTGTAAGGCTAGAGTTTTTCTTAATGTCGGAACAAAAAACAATTTTTTCCACAAGATGTATATTTTTTCTTTCATTGGAAACTTACTAAGAAGAAATGAAATCCATTTTGTTTTTCTTTTACTAAACTGTACATGAATAATAATTTTTTTTTTTTTAACTGTAAGTAAAGATTTTAAAATAGACGTTATTTTATTTTATATTACTTATTTTTTTTGAAAAATTATGAATATACCTTGACTTATTTAATATTGTTCCAATCTTTGATTGTTATAGACATGGTATTTCAGTCAAATATCCTCTGGCTGTTTTGGGGTGTTCATTATATTGGGTATCTTATGTAATAATTGCATTATTTAGTTTTTATGATGATGCTGCTTATTCATTCCAGCAAAACCAGAGTATATTCTTTAACTACCTGATCCATGGATTGAACTCATGACCACTAGAGGCCAACTACACTTGACTAAATAATGTTTATATCTACTATGCTACTATCTCAATCACTGGTATATTTTTAGAACCTTTACATATAATGTCAGATGGTTTCAACATTTGGTGGCATCATGGACATCTGTTGATTAGTCAAGTGTTGCTGTCAAGTGATCAGGAGTTCAATCCCTGGATCAGGTACTGGGACAGTATGCTCTAGTTTAGCAGGAAAAAACAAACTAGTATCATAGAGACAGAATAATGAACAGATGAAAGATATCCCATCCATATAGTCAAGATAATGAACACCTGAAGATGGCCAGAGGGTACTTGACTGAAACATTAGTATAGATATTGTTATTGATACAAATATGAGAATAAAAGTTCAACTGAACAAAATTCAGTTGGTTTCAAATAAATGTTCTGAACTTAAATAACTTCTGATACAATTATTGCTCTAGATTACAATTTAGCATTTTATCAACAAAAATTCTGTTTGCCTTGAGCAAGACAACCTGATGAAGCCCAACCCTCTCCATGCTGGCTGGTTTTGAATTTAGTGTTTTTCCTTTTCCTAGAGTGGTTGCTGCCCAAGACTATAGGATCCAGTCTATCTTGCTATTTACCCATAATTGGTGGGAAGAGATGGATTCATATCTTTCTCAAGGGTATTAGCACATAAGTGAATGTAATGAACCTAACGGCAAAACAAACTCAACACTAATTTCTTAGTCCAAGCCGCTATCTATTACTCTACTGTGCCACCAGATGGCATTACTATTTATCATTATTCTCCTTGTTCTTTTGTTAGTGGATTAGTTTTCACATACTTTGCACCTTACGAATACTTCGTAAATCATGACTATTTCGTTTTGATTGTGAGGAAAGAAGGAAAAGACATATTGGAGATCCTGTTTGATTTCAGTGACAGAGAGAAATAGAGAGTTCTCATGTTTTGTCTGCTGCAATGAAATGTAGAAACATGTCAGTTTCAAATCTTTTCATCAGCTCCCTTGTATTTTTTTTATTTTTTTTAAGATAATTACCTGCATGCATAACATGATTGTTATTGCAATATTTTGTTAAACTTGTTGAAATCAAATATTTAAAAATTTATACAGGTATTTTATAGTCATAGAACTCATAAGGAGCTTATTCCATCATTAACTTAAGAATTAAGATTCATCAGAAAATTCAAATAGCAAAACTGTAAAATTTTCATGGGTATTACTAGTAACTAGTGTTATTTTTAAAGCTTTACATTTTTTTTTTTAACAATGATGTTCACCCTGTACAAGGTTTAAGAGCCACTCCAGGTAGAGGGTTACAGAGTAAGAGACACCAGCCCTATGTAGGTCATAATGCCATCAAGTCACAAGGAGCCACAAGTGGAAGAGAAGGAAAAGACATTAAAAGAAACCGGAAACCCAATTTACTTCAACTCTATATTTGTAATGTTTCCACCTTCACTCTGAAATTGTATTTACTATTTTTTTTTCTTCTTCAATAGGAGTAGATAGGTTCACTTGTTTTCTGGTTCACACTCCTCCCCAGTTTTCTCATTCTCTTTCACTCCCAGGAGCCTTTTGTGTCTTAGTGGAACTATTGCCTTGCTTAGAGTGAATTGATTTTAAAAAAAGATTTAAATGATCCCTGCCTTATCAGTTACACTTTAACCAGTCATATAATCATCTGAACTATTTTTTTTTTTTTTTTTTTTAAATGTATTTTTCAAGATAACCTCATTAATCTATCTCCTGACAATCATTTTTATTGATTGTATTTGATTTCTTTTTTTTTTCCTCTGGCTATTATCTTAGGCTATGGCTTCCAAGAATCCTGCTCTCCAAAACATGGTAAGACTTTCTCAAAAAACAATTAATAGAAACTGTTGTCAACTGACCAATTTTAAAATTATTTGTTATCTAAGTAGATAAAAATGATAACTGCTGATATATTTATTGATGTTTTAAAGCCACTAACATTTTTATTTTTAAACCGTTGATAATTTTGTCTTGTTTAAAAAGTTTGATTATTAGCTAAATTGTTTGCACTGCATGTAAACCTCACTTTTTAGCATGTAAAATAATAACTAAAATTTTAAAAATTAATTTCTGTCTAAATTTCTTAGATGAGGAGTTATCATTATTTACACTATTTGCATTTGGACTATTATTTTCATCTTTTTTTGTTGACCTCCAGCCTCTATCAGGTGTATATTGATCTGGGTAACCTATAAGGAATTCTGAACACTCTCTATAGGGGTAGACTGTTCTTGTTCCACTGCCCATATCTAGGGATATTGTCTAGTTCTTGTTCATCCTGTTTCCACTGAGTCTAAGCACTTACTACTCAACCCAATTAAAAAGTTAAATTTATATTATTAAAGTTTTAAAAAGAAACTGCCATTTGAAGATATGAAAAAAAAAAAAAATAAAAAAACTTTTAGTATTGAATTTCTGGGATGAGGAGTTTTCATTTACATTTGGATTAATGGTTTCATCTTTGTTGTTGTTATCTCAATGTTCAGCTGTTTCCATCTGTTTTGCCATCAGGTACTTGTTGATCTGGATAACTTTCAGAGAATTTCTACCCCTGTAAATTAAATAAAGGGTTCAATTCAAAATTCCCTGAAGATTACCAAAATCAACAAGTACCTGATGAAGGCTGGATGGCACAAATGCCAAAACATGGTAACAATAACAAAAATAAGGACAATAGTCT